ATGGCGGCAAATAAAAAATTGAAGTAAATTTGGCAACTGGCTACAGAGTCGTTAGAAGGATCAGGAGAACGGAGAGACGGCTGCCAGGGAAACGCTTGGCGTCAGTTCTTGGCCCCATACCGCCACCCCCAATCTCCTTCGCCCTTCAACACACAATGAAATCCGCTCAAACCATGGGCTCCAACTCAAGTTCAGCAGTGCGGCAATGCAGTTGAAAGGACAGACCGAAATAGACATGGAATCCTGCTGCAGACATCCTGTCGCCAGACTATCGCCATTTTTTTCCAACTGCTGTATTCAGATGCAGCTTAGGCCATTAGCGTTCGTGTTCTTCGATTGGTAAGAACACAAGAAAACCATTGGGATTGTGGTGCTAAATGCGGTCAACTACAAATGGTCCTAAAACGTTTTCCTTAACAAGAAACGTTCTTCGGTCAGTTTTTAATAATTCGTCAAATCCCGTTAACAAAAAAAGTTAATGTGGAACGTTGTTTCGTTACTTTATATAGTACAGTAAAGATTTTCTATCTCGATAAAGCTTAAGAATTTTTAACTTAAGTTAAGCTTGCCTTAAAAGCGTCTTAAAAGATTTCGATAAAACCATATAAAAAACAAAATTTAAGAGCGTAAGAGTATGAACATGTAAGTGAACACTTTAAACATTAACCACAAATTATTGGCCAATGATTTAAGACTTAAAGCGAGGGCACCCATAGCAGCGACAACGTATACGCACTGTTGGACAGCACCAACAGGACCACCAACAACACCAAAGGCAATCGGCCAACGAGTCTAATGAATGCCCAACTATGGCCATCTGGGCCACAGTCAACCCACTAACCTGACTCGAGGCAGGAGGAGAATATACATTATGGTGGCTGGAAAAGCGTGGCCCGAGCAACTTATTAATATGCAGAGCAGCCAGCAGGTGTCTTTGCTACCGTTTTATGCCACAATTTGCGCCACGTGCGGCTGCTACTGCTACTGCTGGTGATGGTGCTGCCGCAGCTTTTCCTGCTGCTGACAAGGCTTTAATAATGCTGCCACTCGGCTGCGTTCGCCTGGCAGGCCAAAACGATTTCTTTGCTCAGCTGCAGCTCGAAATTAACAATTCGTAGCTCATTTTTCTGCCAGCAGGGTGGGCGTAAATCCATGGACCAATGACGAAGAACAGGGGGACCACTTGCAGCGACAATTAGTTGAGTTATTGGCAGCAAGTTGGTCCTGTGTAACCACCTCTCCAGCCCAAAATTTGGCCAAGCCAAGTAAATTTGTAGTCAGACAAACAGCAATCAAAGGAAAAACGCCCAAGGAAAAATGTTAGTGGGTTTTCATTCATAAGTATATGATTTTATAAAATGGTAAAATTGCTTTTACTCAGTTTTCATGGATCTCTTAAGATAAAAGAGTATTATTTCTAAATATTACAAAAGGAGAATAAAATCTTCATTAACTTATATTAAAAATGTAAAGCCTGAATACATTTTACTAATCTACTAACTAATATCTACTAACCATTTGCTAGGGGTGTTCTTAGGTATACCCCAAGCCCTCCGCATGTGGTATGATGATCGGCTTGTTAGCTGTTCATACCAAACTCCCTCGCTTGGCTCAAACTCAGCCCACATTCATCTCCGGACACAGTTGGGCAAAGGATTCGAGGCGGCTGCTGTCAACGCATAGTTGTTGGCCAGGACAACGGCAGGAGCAAAAACAGGAGCAGCAGGTGGAGGAGTTGCAGCAACCACACAAGCAACGTCCTCCCACGGACGGATGCTCATATGCACAGATGCTCTGACAGGTCGGCATACCTGGCCACAGGGCAACTGCATACTGGACTCGACTCTTCTGGTTGGTCAGTCAGCTGGCACAAGGACTTGCAACATGCCATAGTGACAAGAGGGGGAATGTGGAGCCAGAGGACCAAGTAGAGCCAAATGGATAAGCACAGGCAGATGATGAGCACTAAGCAAAAGTAGCAGTATTAGGAGGAAAATCGGAAGGAGGTAGTTGCAATCCCAGCAATCCACAAATTGACTGCTGAACATGTCAAGTGATTGAAGACCTCCTCGAACTCTTCACGACCAGGCCAAAATTGTCTGTCCGTTGTCATCGACATGAGGCAATTCAGTCTGCACTGCAGGATGAGAAGGCAAATTGAATCAATCACTGCACTAGGACAAGTCATCCAATTTGGATTGTCTATGATCTGATTTGGATTTAATGCAACTATGTTTTGGGTCACATTTAAACGAAAAAACAGCAAACTTGATATAATGAAATAATAATCCATTTATTCTTCTTTTTGAATTTTAAGAATATAAACTTTTGGATCTGAATTTATCTATCGAAGAAAAGCATGAACAAAAATGTCATACTTTCCCACCTTAAAACGTAATCCATCCTTTTGCAATTACTTTAAAAGGCAACAGCTGAAGAGGATGTAGACAAACAAAAACATCTCATCACAGACTCTCATGTTATCCACAGCCTCAATGACATTTTCATTAGGTTTTCCCTTTATGGCTTTGTGCGTATAGGTAACGCAATTTGATGAGCAACTTATTGCACATACGCAGTGGTGAACGGACCTCCGGCTCCATCCTGGCCATTCCCACGATTCGTTTTTGTTATTTTTTTGTTTTCTGTATTTTCCTGTGTTTTTTGTTGCCTTTTTCGGTAGTCACGGCTGTGTCTGACATTTCTTGATGTTACCTCTTTTTAGTCGTATTCAACTCTGACTGTAACTGCGACTGTAACTTGCACCGTTTGCCAGCAACAGCAGCGGCAGCAACAGGGACTAGGCAGAAGAGGAAGCTATAAACCTGCTCAATGCACAAGGTTTCGCAGCCGAGGGAAATGTCAACGAAAGCTACAAAAATGCAAAATACATTGACAAAAAGGGAGGAAAACCATAAAAACAAAAAAAATGGGAATGGGGAAATGTAAAGAAGAATTCACGCCAAATGAAATCTGCAACGAGTCTGACGCATTTAGCTGTCAGTTTGTCTTAGCGGAGTCGGTCGTTGGAAATGCCGTCGTCATGTCTCATTGTCCCGCTGCTCCTCCGATTCCGGCCAAAGAGGGAGAAGCCAAAGGATACTGACAGAAGAAGGAGGAAGACGAGCGGAGGCAAGAACGGTTATCCAACCAAACCGAGGCGAAGCGAAACGCAATGCGCGTAAAATAAACAAATTTCCGCAGACGACACTCAACTATGCAAACAGTAATTGGAGCAGGCAGGCAGAGAGGCGGGGCAGGCAACGAGGTGGGTGGAATCCAAGTCGAAGAGTTGAGAGAGAGATGCTGGTGGGTGGGTGGTATGGTTGGTGTAAGCTCAGGTAAAACCTTTAGCCAAAACCAAAAACTGAAACTGAAATTCAACGAAATAAAACAACAACAATAATGAAGGTGGGCAAGTTGATCATAGGGGATGTTTGAATCAAAGGATATCCTGTAAAATCCAAGCCGCTATGGGTTAAGAGTTTTTAAATTATGGTTTTAAATGTTTTTATCATCGATACTAAATGAGATAAAATATCAAATTTCTGAATGTTTAAAGGAAGGGCGAGATGTTCAAGTAAGAAAGAAAATCACAAGACTTAAATACCCATTAGCTCCACATTTACAGGGTATGCACAAGGAAATCGTAACTCGAAGCTAACGCTGGTTGGCGCCAAGGATGGCGGCAAGAGGATTCACAGGACTCACAGGATTCGCGCTGGATTCACATAACGCAAGACAGTTGGCAGTGGGGAAAACGGAACATAGCGGTAGCCAAAAAATAAGGAAAGGGTAACGGTTGTGGACCAGTAAGAGAGAAATGTTTCTGCAAATGCAATATTGTTATGCTGTAATGGTATAAAATGTATGCATATGTTTTACACAGGATACAGGATGCTGCAAACGAGACATGACCGTGGAAAGGACTATAGAGCTTGGCGGCGGCAACAAGGATCATAGGAACGGCAGGAAGCCGCCGCTTTGCTGCCTCCGTTTGCGGAAAATTAAAGAAAACAACATCGCGAAAATTCGGTATACGAAGGAAGTGCATTCCAGCAATGGAGAAACAAAGAGGAATGAGAAAACGAGAATGAAAATTGAATGAGAAACACAATTCCCATTTTGTCTCAGACTATGAAATAGATCCGGTTACTCTCGCCTGCTCGCTCTATCTCCGCCGTATTGAAGGAGAGCTTCTTACTCAAAAATTCTAGGCGCTTAAGGATCTCTAGTCGCACTTCAAATTTACTATTTCAGTCTGAGTTTTAAAGACTTCAATTATTAGGATAATTTAACTATCTTGATTTAGAAGTAATGAAAAAGGATGAATCTATTAAAATTCCCATTAATATTATAGAGTTACCCATTCATTTATCTGTAGCTAACAATTAACAAACAATTACAATATATGATGAAGATAACAAAGTACCTAAACTACACAAGTTTCTAAATTCCTAGTGAATAGATTTTTATTGCTAAGTGTAGAGCAACTTGTTAGTCTTATCTTACAAATTGGTAGAGAACGAGAATGGGAAAGATAGCGAAACTAAGCTGAATGAACTGCAAGTGAAAAATCCAATCAAGTTAGCCTAATTAAAACGCCCGACAAACAAACTCAATCACTGAACGCTTCTCGAGGGTCTCATTATTTAGTCTTTGTTTTAGCCCTTTTGCTGTCCCTTGTTTTGGCCTTTACTCTTGTCCCTCTTTTTTTTTTTGGCAAACACAAACAAAGCCGAGAAGGCCGAAAGAACTGAAACTGTAAACTATGCTAATTGATAAGGAACAAACTGCAGAAAGATAAAGAGAACAAAGTAAGCTAACAAGAAGGACTGGGTTAATAATTAACATTTTTATGTAATCATTTTTGAAATATTAAATCTAGATCTAGATACCTTAAACAAAAACTTGACTGCTCAATAAAATATTACTCTTTTCTATAACGAATAAGTCAGGAAATAAAAGTCAATATATAAGACTAGTTTTTTGTGATTGAGATGAAGAAGACTATTCTAAACATCATACTGCTTTGTATAGTTTTCTACGTAACACAGTATTGCCAAAGGCCTATAAAAAGTAACGAGATTGTCCCGCCGCCTCTGGATATTAAATCGCATTCAAAAGTGCTATCTGTGAACACATCACAATGCCAGATGGCTGCCATGGAACCCCTGTCGCCAATTGCGGTCTACTATATGACAAAAATGCCCATATATTCGTGCTTTATGATCCAGCTAATGGTTCCCGAATCTGTTGGCCAACGGAATTACTTATACTTGACTGCTACTACGAAACAACTTTGGCAGAAGCTTGGAGTTCGGAGATTAAGCGAAATCTACTGCGCCTACAATCGCTTCGAACGAATAGATGACTTTCGCAACAAGTACTTTGGCTACAAATACTTTCGCTTTAGTCGCTGGAATAATATAACCGAGGTTCAGCCGGGCAACATAACGATACGAGTCGTTTGCTGGTTGGACTTTGGTCATATAATTTATCATGATGTTCTGATATTCCTGCCAAATTCAAATAAAAGGATACAAAAATTTCCCACTTTAGAACCCGTGAAACGTCTTTCCGTTATTATCCTGGGTATTGATTCCATTTCCCACATGCACTATCGTCGTTACTTTAGGTAAGTTATATTTTGTAATACAAAATATACTATTTTATAAACCATTAATTAACAAAATAAAAACATCCATGCACTCCTATATTATCCAATTAAGAGACATTCAAACTTAAATTGAAAAATAAAAAAACATCAATAAAAACAACCTGGTTTTATCAGCCGCAAACAGTTTAACAAAAGCTAGCTATAAGTGTCCTTTTAAAATGGCTAATTAAAAACATGAACAATTTAATTGTTTCATTTAAAAAAGTCATGTAAAACATACATTTCCCCCTAGTCAATTCATGGACTATATAGACCGCCTGCCGCACGTCGAGATGTGGGGCTACAACCGTGTTGGTCGAAACTCATATCCGAATCTTATGCCTCTGCTGAGTGGACAGAGTGTGGATGAAGTGGAGTCCGAGAGAGGATGCTTCGGGGCAAACAAAAATATAAGCTTCGATCGGTGCAAGCTACTGTGGAATGATTTCAAGGCGGCTGGTTATACTACAATCTTGGGCGAAGACTCCCGCGTAGGTGGCACCTTTACTTACCTTAGGCCCGGCTTTGAGCGTAAACCCACCGATTATTATCTGCGAAGCGTTATGAACGAGATCCACTTAAAGACACAATATTCAGCCAAAGGACCAAAACATATAACCTGCTCAGCCAACCGAGTATATCATCATGTTCTTCACAACTTCTTTTACCAGTTGTTGCCCCAAATGCAGGCAAGTTGTTATGATAGGGGATTCTTTGCCTTTTTCTGGCAGACGATGGGCGTCCACGATTACTTTCAGTACGGCGAAAAGACAGACCTCCAGTACTATTTGATTTTAAAAGCGTTGCAAAACAAAAATATTCTCAATAGAACCTTGGTTGTCATTTTGTCTGACCATGGTCTGCGATTTGGTCCATTTGTGAAAACCTTTCAAGGCATGAGAGAGGTTTCATTGCCAATGATGGTGGCCATATATCCGAATTGGCTAAGTCAACAATATCCACTGGCAGTAGAAAATCTTCAGGCCAACTCTCACCGTCTAATGACCACATACGATATTCACGAGACTCTAAAAGATGTTCTGGACCTGGAAAACCTTAGCGACGAGCGGATACGAAACCGAACCATGCAACTAAAAAATGAACACAAAATCTCCTTATTTCTGCCCATTCCTGAGGAGCGAAGTTGTTTCTCTGCCCGCATCCCGCTGCACTACTGCCAATGCGAGGGTTTTATCAAGATACCTTGGAATGTACGCTTTATCCAGCGAATTGCCACGTTCGCAGTGGATAGGTTAAATAGTTTACTATTACCCTATAAGCAGTGTCATAAGCTGAAGCTGCTCAAAGTGGAGGATGCCTACTTGCACAATGTCAATGAATCGTTCACTGTACGCCTGGTGACCGAACCGGGAAATGGTCACTTCGATGCCACCGTCGCCAAAGACCAAAAATCTTTGCTGGGTCCTATCACAAGAACTGATCAATACCGACATCAGGCATATTGCGCCCAAGACGAGCCAATCGCTATTTATTGTTACTGTTCTTAGATTTCCATTTTATATTGCATTGCATCTTTTTAATAAATATCAATTCTCCTATCAATATTTATAAATGCAACCCATCTTTAAAACCATACCCAAAAAGTAACAGTTTCAATTCGAATTTCATAAAAACATAAGAACGAGATAATATTTATGACTTATTCATATATAAATACCCACATCTGCAATGGTGTTTTTTACGCAATAAATATAAATGAAATAAGGTCATCAAAACCGACACCATAGACTCATAAAAAATCACAACCTATGGCTGAGTAGTCCGCAGTATCGATTACAATCAACATTCAGATAAGTTTAACAATGCAAATTGGCTTACATATAAATGTTATTTTTTAATAAGAAAATAGTGGCAACCGCGGATAACTAGGTTTGATTGCTGAATATTTTTTTACGTTTAAACAGTATGAAAAAAATGCTACAAATGGAAAGTCAAGGCAAAAGAGCATGCTGAGATAACAAGGCCAAAGTACCGTTGTACCAAGAACCTGGAAGAGACAAAGTAACTGGCATTAGGATAAATGGCTAGCAAATGTGTTTAGATTTCTCTTAATTTCATTTACCGCACATAAACACCCATGCACTTAACCAAAGCTGTTTTTGCGACAAACTGTCAACAGATGGCGCCGCTGTGTCTCACCATGCATGCAAGCTAGAGATGTTGGCGTGTCACGAAGCTATGTTGGTCACAGCTCGTGAGTGGTTTTTTAAGTTATTTTCATATTGGGACTTAAAAGGAAAAACTTGACCAGTAGTATTTAGTATTTTTCAGCAGTTGATTCTCCTTTTGAGAAAAGACTAGCTTTTATATACAAAATAGTACTCACGTGATCATAGCTATGACAAACATAGCTATGAGAGACAGAGACAGTGCGACTGGCACACATATGGCGGGCATAAACATTTGTCGTCGCTCTGCTGTAATTAATAATAATTTGCATTCACAGTTTGCAGTTCAGCGCCCCGTGCGAGATTTCATTTTAATTAAATTATGTGCAGCCTTGTCAGCGGGTGCGAGTGGATGGGTGTGTGTGTGTGTGCCTGTATACATGTGTGTGGTGCCTGCTCAGCGGTTGAGGAGGCGTGGCTACTACAAGATAAAGCCTGCAAGTGGGTGATCAGGCAGTGGGTGGCGCTTGATGTTGGTTCTCTACTTGCAACATACCGCGTGCAGCATGCATAAATTATTAGCGCTATCTGTTGTCATTTAAGGTTCGCCTTAGTTTAGTTAAATTCAGTTAAGTTATGCGTGTCTGTGTGCGCCTGCAACACCCGCAATAATGGCAATAACAATGAGTCCAACCACGATAACCATGTTATCAGCTGCCACAACATGCAAGTCAAGTGGCGGGGCGGGCAAACAATGGCAACCAAAAGTTGGCAACCTGCATGAGTGATGACAACGTTTCGATGTAAGTTTAGATTAAATTTGTCTTAATTATGGATTAAGTCATTTTTAAATTTAAACAACAAACTATTTTTGGATAAGGGAAGGACTTAGCTCGTTTTGCATAATTATTAAGTGGTAAATATTGGATTAGATTGTGTTAAAGAAAAAAAACTTAATGTTCTCCTTTAAGATAAAACTTCACATTATTCAATTTCCTTTCTTTAAAAAAAAGTTTAGGTATTTAAAACATTTTAAAATGTCTACCATTCCCATCGTAAATTACGACACTAGCGTAGCAAAAACCCTTCATACACCTCCACTGCATGGCGCAACATGTCGCATACTTAATATCACGCATTCGAACCGTTGACGCTTATAACATCACAAAGCGCAAACTTCATTTTGGGAAACGAATGACCCTGTCGAGGGGCTAGGGCAAGGATAAGGGACCAAACCCAAACGGGTTAGAGACCTAGATGGAAGCTGGACTCGTGGCAAATGCCATTAAGAGCTTTTGACCAGAACGCGCCGTAAATCAAGTCACTTTAATTCAATAACAAGTTCCCCAGAGTGGCCCAGAGGTTCCACTAGCCGACTGTAACCATTTTACCCCTCCATGGCCCCTAAAATCCAGCACAATGTGCAGATGTTGCCATTTGGTTTCTGGCCCAGGCCGTGGACATTGATTTCGTTTATCTGCGATGCCAAATTATTCATTTGGGCCACAGACAGCCACACGGACATACAGAGACAGAGATACACATAGAGACACAGAGAGAGAGAGAGAGAGACCAATAGAGAGAGAGAGGGAGATATAAGCAATATTGGTTAGACCAAGCATTTTGCTGGCCAAGTAATTTGGCACAATTTGATTTCGAGTTTGGTCCAAAAACAATCGAAGCAAACTTTGGCTGCCTTTTGGCATTTCGAATTGTCTTCAATGTAATTCAAATGTTTTTCTTTGAGGTTGTTGCTGCTGCTGCTGCTGCTGTTGTTGTTGTTGGCATTTAATTTCCATTCGGCATAAAAGCCTATTCAACCTTGAACAAGTTTACACAATGCTAAATAAATTAGACAACGACAATAGCAACAACAAGAACAACAAAAATGACAAAGAAAACTTTCAAACTCTGCTCAAGTGTCAAGCAATTGTTGAATTTATGCTTTGCATTTTCCCTCCTAGATTTATTTGCTATGCAAATCTCAAGCACAATTAATAGCAATTATGGATCATTGAATGGGGAAATGGGAAAATGGAAAGAGAAAATGAAAGGAAGGAAGCCGTGGAAGGACGTGGACGACAAATTTCGTTTTTATTCAAACATTTTCTTGCATAATTATTGTTATTTATTGGTCAAGTATTTCTTACTTACTTCCCAATTGAGATTTATTACTGGGAAATGTATTGTCATCTGCTCTCAATGAAATTGAATAAATCATGAGATTGTCAATTCATCCGAATGATTTTGAACAGCTGAATATTGATTAGTTAAATGAAAAGTTCTTCTTCCATTATTAGTAAATACTCGGATTTTGAATGAAATTAAAACAGTTTTGTTTAATCTATGTAGCATATTTGTATATTTTATTAAACAATCTGTTGTGACAAGTATTTACTTTACGCATCAAATACATCTGATGCACAATATCCCACTGATTAAATAAAGATAATTTCTTTGGAATTGAATTTTAAATGGAACTCCGGGCTATAATCCATTTCCCCACTTTCAATCTACTCAATGTTGTTGACCAATTGTGGTTGACACAGACCAACTTGACTTCTGGGCAAACACACATACAAACTCGCATGTGTGTGTATAGATTATGATTTAAGTAACCGCAATGGCAGTTGCTGCTGCTCTACCACTAAAACCAACGAAAAGGACGCGTTTCCCAGCATTTTATCCTCCATGTTCCTTTTCTCACATCTCCAGCTGATTTCGCCACAATGGTTTTGGCTAATCGCACTGTCATTGCGTTAACCGCATTTCGTTTATTTGCCGCATTGCATTATATGACCAAATCGTAGGGTGGAAACTGTGGGTGGTGAGGTTAAACATCGGGTGTTGGCATAACAGCGATAAGAATGCTGCCACAGGGTTCATTCTAATGCGTTTTCCATCGCATATTTCATTATCAATTTGCATTGGAATCAATTTTCAGGGGAGCCAGGGGTATTGGGAGTATAGAGGAATGTGGCCAATACCAGAAAACCAATCGCATTTAGCCGATTTGAATAGTTTGCGGGCATCATTGGAGCTCTAAACATAGCACCAGAATATCGAACAATGTTTGCCTTCTACATTGCCCTGTCTGAACTTTGGATGCATTTTAACTGATTAGATTTATCAAATGGTCGGTGGTCAGAGGAGGGTGGGTTGAATTTGGGGCAGAGTAACTGCCATCTGAACTTGGCCGCAGACAAGTTTTGTATCTGACAGATGCCAAACTATTGGTCACTGAGTGATTGGGTAAAGATTTAAAGAAGACAAGGTCTTGATAAGAAGGAAAATATATTTTTTTTAATTTTAAGTATTATTGTACTTACAGTTGATATCTTGAATCTGCAAAAGAAGAAAGAAGAATAAAAATTAAACTTGGTTTAAGTATGAAAATATTATTCTCAAATTTTAATTTTTATTTAACATGCATAAGTTTTCTGTTGTTACTCTCATTATAATCTTACCTCAATCTCAATCACTATAATTATTAAAGGGTACACTTAAGTCGACTCTTTTTCACATATAAAAATCTCAACATCATATAGCCCAAACCTAAACCATTTCCTACATCTATTGTAGCTCCAGTTACCTACTTACATCCACATGTGACACCCACAACAATATCCACTCAGCTCCACCCCAAAAGCCCACATCTTTCCGTATAGTTAGATCACCACCCACCGGAGCCATTGACAATGGCAAAATCTATAAACTATTGAATTGCAAATTGCGTATAAAGTCAAAAGAAAATTTTTGCAATGTAAATTAACAGCCAAACGAAACTGGTCAAAAGAACAAAAATCCAAAAATCAGCAAAATAAAAACAGAAAAAGAGAGAAGGAGAGGATGAGGAAGAAGTAAGAACAACGAGAATAGAAGACCACAGTCATTTGCTGACCCATCCCCACCCACACTACCACCCCCGATTGCTTTCAGTGGAGGAGAATTGTGCTATGAAATAATCCGCAACGACAAATATGCGCGCTGTTTTATATGTGTGTTTGTACATGAGAGTATGTGTTAGCCATGTTTATGCGAATGTGTCAGTGTGTGTGTGTGTGTGCGGCGTGGCCAGTTGGTTAGCCAAGTATCGCACAAAGCCGTGTGCTGTGCAAGTATTTTGTATTTTCGAAGCCAGTTACCCAGACACCAACAACAACAACAACAACAACGACAGCAACAAAAGCAGTAGGTAACTGCCACAGCAGCCACTGGCAAACCACACACATAAACCGGTTCAACGAAATTCCAGACAGCAGCCGTCGTCGCCAAAAAGAGCAAAAGAGCCTCAGCTCCAGCCGCAGTCTCAGTTTCAGATTCAGCCGCTGTCTGCTCCGTCTCTTTCTCGGACCCTGATTCTGTCCCATTCTCTATTTCAGTTCCCCATCGAAGACCCCAAGACATGGCCAGCAGCAGCCGGCACTAAATGTCAAGCAAGTGAACGGTTTCCAGTTGTATGGGGCTACCCAAAAGTGGGAGTGGAGCAAAATTGGAGAAAAAAAATTGTATCAATGTTGCAGGAAAATACGATCTCAAACTCGATTTGATTAACTACAAAGTTTTATATGTTATCGCACTTTGACTCACCACTATTTTTCAAATATAACTTATTTTTACTTGTTATGGTTATTGTGATTAAATAAAATACTTGCGAGATAGAATTTTCCTCAGTGTAAAACTGCAACTGTGCAGAAAATAAAGTCAGGGAAAAAATCACAGCTGGAAAAGAATCGCACAGAAAGAGAACGCCAATCGGCATGGCTTAGAAATCAGCACCATGGACCTGTATCTCCGATTAGCGTGGAGTATGGAACTTTTCTGAAGAAAAGAGAGCTCTTGAAAAAGAATCTAAATAAATAATCCAGATGAACTGGTCAATGAACTTAAATCCTTTTGTTATATCAACCCCTTAACAAAAATCATCTTTTTAATATGGGAAAACAATCTTTGCAAACTAACAAGGACATGTTCAGCTCAAAACATTCCAAAGACATTAACCAACTAAAATGGAATGAGTTTTCTCACAATAACTATATCAAATCATATTTCAATATCCTTAATGGACATATTATGACAGGATGAAAACTATACCAAGACATGCTGAGCTTAAGAAATCCAGGAAAAGGCGTCAATGAATGGCCTCTATTGTCAAGTCAGGTCTTTATCTAAATCTCCAATTACTATACCAAATCATATTTCAATATCCTTAATGGATATTTAATGGAACGTGGAAATATCCGACAAAAAGAAAAGGTTAATAAAAACTGGCATACGCAGGCGAGTGAGTACTTATTCGCTTACATATATCAGTTATATAATCATGATTTTTTCTCTCTTTTCTTTCTTCTCCAAAGCCGGCGACAACTCCAAACGAATGGCGACGGAAAATTTGTTGTAATCAATATGAACTGGCGTCTGGCAGCCGCCTCAGATAACTCCACACAAATACACATACACATACGACTGACTATAGTCAAGCCGCCAGCAGGCCATAATGTGAGAGTGTGTGTGGAAAAACAGATTTGTGAAAAATGCGGAAAATGGCAAGAAATGAAATCGATGGATCCACAATCCACAGCAGGAACCATTGCGTTATATTGCAAAATATAAGTGTACGTTGGTGGCAAGGGAAATGGTAGCTATATGTGTGTGTGTGTGTGTAACTGTGTTACATGCGTCAGCCATTATGATAAATCGCACCTTTTATTGCAGCATCAGCGCCTTGGTAACTGATTCATAAAGGGTGCCTAGGGCAGGTTTGAGTTTTAGTCGATTTTGTTGAACCTTTTGGATTTGGCCAAATCGTTAAAGCCATAGACAAACACAGAGATTATGTGAAAGAGAGGAGAGGGTGTGCGAAAATGACATCATTCAACGATGTCGCTTTTCCTCAACCTCGGCAGCATCTTCTTTATTTTTTTGTTCATGGCTTATATCTTGTAACCCAGCTATACACCTCGTTCCCATCATTCCTCCCCCTCTCAAGCTTTCAACTTTTCTGTGTGCGTTGCTGCAATTACGAATACATATTTTTGATAGACTTGCTTAAGCCAAGCAAAAAATGTGATAAACGACCTGCTAAGAGAAGGAAAACCGGGAAGGGTAGCGGGATGTGGGTGTGTTTCACGCAAGTAGAGCAATTTTTATAACAGAAACCCACATATCTACATAAATTCCAAAGGGAATTTAGCACAAGCCAAAGTGACTCTAAAGCAAAGCGAGGTACTCCAGATAAGTTCATGAGAATCTTAGGGGAAAAACTCATAAGTGTATTGAAAAAAGAAAAATAGGGGTCTAGACTTAATGAGTTCACTTGACTTTGGATATAGTATTTGATGGGTTAAGTGTCCTATCGACCCTTACATGAACACTTGAAAGTTATAAGTAGATAAGTAATAGTAATTTACAATAAGCTATAAGATATAATAACAACGAGCTATTGGAATAATGAAAAATGAGAACAAATTCCTGAAATACAAATATTAACCATTGAAAATGTAAACAGAAACTACATTCGTTGAGTTTCCTTTACATTTTCCCTCTGACATTTTTTTCAAGACAATGTTAGAAATGCATTTCGCTTGAATTTCTAACAATATTTTCTGGTAACTTTGTTGACATTGGAACATGTGAGAATTTGAAACTTTCGGCAACGAACCGCTCCATGATGCATGACCAAACCCCAACCTACCATTATCCATAACCCTTCCCCACCATCGACCCAACCCCAAACCGTATTCAGTGCAATCTCCGCCCCATCAATATGTTACCTCAAAATGTTTTTGCTGTCGCACTGCCCCATTAAACATTCATCATTTTCCATGGCCATTCGTCATCAATGCGTGGAAAAGTTAACGCCAAGAGACGAGGAGTGAAAATGGTTGGAGGGATGGACGGTTGGATGAAATAAGGGTAATGGGGAAATGCAGTAGGGCTAAAGGAAAACAAAAACAGAGATATAAAAAGACCGACATCGGTCAGCGGGCCAACACACACACACACACATGAGCGAAAATAGTGCGAAACTCTCAGTTCGCTGACATACTCACACAAATCCGCAAACATTTATCGAAATATTTCACACGCACTCGAGCCGAAGAAATGTGTGGTAACAGCACAAACAATTACAAAACAACAACAATGGCTTTTTGTTGCAATCGAAGCTTTAACACACTGCCAGATATGTTCGATTCCTATGAAAAACCTACAAAACAAGATTTTGTTACATATTATTTTGCTTTTTACAACATGTCGAAAACTAATTTACAAACTTTTTAACTAACGCTGGTTTTTTTGCGAGTATTATTTTACTTATTAATTAAATTTACCTAATAGTAGTGTGATTAAATCATCTCTTTAACAAGATTTTATCTTACGGAATGGCAAACATCAAAAGATTCTGTTTATGCCCCAAACAAGAGTATAACCAGAAAAACAAACAGCGAAACGAAAAATCCAAACACCGATAAAGTGTATTGAAAATCTGCAGGTAAGAACTGAACTGAACTGAATTGAAGTGAAGTGAAAGCCACAAATTGCACTGGAAAAACCCTTCATTCTGAGTGTTGCATTTAAGCAGAGAGAAAGAGAGAGAAATGTGAATTCCCAGAGTCAAGCTCAAAACTTATGGACAGACACCTGCGAATAAGGTCAATAGAGTTACAGCTAGAAAAATGGGTAAGGTAAGACACGATGAAAAGAAGTAAACCCCAGAAATACATTGGTCCAATGTCACACCAAGAAATTGTTGCTCATTTTTGTTTTTTTGTTGTATTTCTTTCGTTACCGGTATTTTATTTGCTTTTGCGGTTAGCACCAGCATCAGAAATCAAAGCTCTACTTTTGCCTGACCCATTCATTACCATAAAAAGTGTGGGGCCCAATCGTTGGAGAGATGCGGCGGAGGAGTAGAAGCGGAAACAGGTTTCATCATCATCAGCATTGCAGAACAAGAATATTCATTGGGATCTCCGGGGGACAGCGAAAGTGGTGCCATAGAAAGTTGGCTTGACTTGGAGTCGCTGTTTTTTTTTTTTTTTTTGCTTAGCTGGGTGACACACGAACGCACAGAATCACGCAGGCAGGCCGCCAACTTTTTAATTAGACACTAAACTGCAACTGTCACGAGACCCTTTGGATTTTTTCTGTTACTCTTGACTGAAAGAAGAACAGCACTCATTATCCTGCTGATTAATAAGCAAAACACTAAAGGTAAAGGGCAGTGGGAGAAGGGTAGTTCAGTTTTCTTGTAAGATTGGACGAAACTCGTAAAACGTGCTCAACGTATTTTAGTACTCATTTACTATGACAACATTAATTACCCAGGACTTAAAGCGGATTAC